AGTTAAGAAGTATGTATAGCAAGTTTTTAACTTTTTGCAATGGTTAAATACTTTTTTTGGTCCTTTTATTATTGAAAAAAGTTTCTTTTTGATCCCTATATTGAAAAAAACTCATTTTTAGTCTTTAAAAATTGAAATTTGGCCCTTTTTTGGTTCCTCCCTTAAATTTTTTGACAAGTAATAGTTAATTAACAAATTTTGTAATATGAAAAATCCACTCTATAAAAAAAAATGACATGAACATATTTTTGAGTTCATGTCAACATTTTCACCCTTCTGTTTTTTCTTTTTTTAACCTTGTTGGGTTCTTCGTGAACCCACCCAGGCATGAGCTTGGTTCGCGATGAGCTCATGCCCGAACCCAGGTGTGCACCTAGGTTTATGAAAAACCCAACGCATGCCTGGTTTTGTCTTGAGTTATGCGAGCTGAGTTCATCGTGAACCTAATTCGTGCTTGGGTTTGGGCGCATGCTCGTCGCGAACCCAACACATGCCTGGGTTTGACCACGAACTCGTCACGAACTCAATGCGCGATTGGGTGGGTTCATTGGTTCGCAATGAACCCAACAAGGTTAAAAAAAAAAAAGAGCTAGAAAGGTGAAGATGTTGATGTGGATTCAAAAATATGTCTTCATTTTTTCTACAAAATGGATTTTCCACATCACAAATTTTGTTAATTAATTGACAGCTGTCAAAATATTTAACAGAGGGACTAAAAAGAGTCAAATTTTAATTTTTAAGGACTAAAAAAGGATTTTTTTCAGTACATAAATAAAAATAAACTTTTTTTCAATAGTAGGGGGATAAAAAAAGGTATTTAACTTTTTAAAATCATATTTTATTCAGTGGTGCTATCGATAATATTAATTAAATAATTTTATTTATATTTTAATATGATATTTAATAAATAAATACATATTTTAAGAATGAATATTTCAAATAAAAAAAGAGATAATTATATGTAACATGTTTTACATTAAGTTGTAAAAGAAATTACATAGTTAAAGTTCTGCGTGGAACCTTTTCTATAAGATTTGTAAGCATTATTAAGTGAATATATACAAACAATATTACAATTAAAACTTAAATAGAAATAATTAATTTTGAGTATAAGTTTATAATTATAAAAAAATTGTTATATAATTTTGATTGTATGAAAAGCTAGAACTAAAATGGTTGAATGAAGGGTGTAACTCTTGATATTAGGTGCTTAATTTTTTCAACTATTTTTATTTTATAGTATAATGCCGTCTAAACTATAGAATGAGTAATGATGTTGATGCAATTTTTTTATTTTTTTATATTATTAAATAAGTGCATATATTTAATATTATGATTTCTAAATGAATAAAAAAATAATTATTAAAATAATATATAAGATTGTACAAATATATTATTTTTAAATCATTTTCCTAGCAAAATGAGATTCTCTTATAATTATATCATCTTTTGAAAATAAATAAATGAGAAAATGAGTAGAGAT